CCCCCTGTCCCGCCGTGTCCCAGCCCCTTCCCGTTCCCGTTCCCGTCCCCGCTCCCGCCGTGTCCGCGCGCTCTGGCCGAGCTCTCCCGGCACCGTCGGCGGCGCGGCGCGGGGGCGCCCCCTGGCGGATGGGTCGGCGCATGGGGCACTGCCGTCAGGGCGGCGCGGCCGCGGGCGGGACCCGCCGGGCGCGGGGCAGGAGCGCGGGGGGATCCTCGCCCAGGGGGAAGGCTGAGCCCCCCTGGTCCCCCGGCCCCTTCGATCTGGGGGCGCAGAGCGGGCGCTGGGCCGCCTTCCAGAAGCGGCACGGGCTGAGCTGCGAGGAGGCGGCGCGGCTGCTGCTGGACGCGTAGTGAGTAGCGGGGCCGCGGTCCGGCCCCGGCCCGTGGGAGCATCGTTCTCCCGGCCGCACCTGCACAGCGGTGCACGGGCTTGGAGAGGTGCCGCGAAGGGCGGCGGGGGGATCCGGGGGGCGGGGAGGGGGCGCAGGCACCACGGAGAAAGTTGCTTTTTCTGCTAAAGCTTCCCCTGTTTTACGGCTCTCTGGGCAAAAATGCCCTCGGGGGGCACCGCGAGGCTCAGCCTCCAAATCTCCACCCAATTTCCTGTGCTCGCTCTTCGCAGAGCGCTGCACATCATCGCCGCGCTGCAATCAGTAAGTGTCCGTGGCAGGGAAAATCTGAAAGGAAAATGTTTTTCCTTTGCGTTTTGCGATTGACCCGGCACGGTGAGTCTGCCCAGCTGCTGAGGAGGCAACTCAGACAGAGGGAGAGGCACAGGCTGAGAAATTCCCTGATCATAAAGTTCCCCCGCAATTACAATCTGAAATAAAACACCTTTCAAATATTATGTAAAATCCAGTTATCTCTGCTTTTTCCAGCTTTTAAATGGAGCAATATTAGTGGTGCTGGAGGAGTTGTGGGGAAAACTGTTGGAAATTTCAGTTCTCAGTTCCAAGTAGGTTGTCCTGTGGTAATAACCCTGGTTTCTGTAGGGTTGTGCAGGACACAGCTGCAGCCTGGGTGACACTGTGACCCGGACTGGGGTGGGGAGCTTTCTTGTACAGAGTAGAGAGTCCTCGAACTGCTGTTCTTCTTTCCTTTTCAGCATTTTAATTAAACCACAAAAGCAATTGCTGTGAGGACAAAAGCCATTCCCTACCTCACTCTGACACATGGTATTAAAATACATTTGAATAGATACATTTCCTGGTGTTCTGCAACTGCTCAAGGCAGACCTGAATAATGTTGTGTATAGCCTTACTGCTCTCTTGGCCAAAAAAAGAGAGTATGATCACAAGAGCTCTGTTGTTTCTCTTTCCAGTGAACACAGAGGTTTGGTCAAGCACACAGGAGGCTGTCACTGTGGAGCCGTCCGCTTTGAGGTCTGGGCTTCACCACATCTGCACGTGTTCAACTGCAAGTGAGTTGTTTTGTTCCCTGTTCTCATACATGAATATCAGCTTGTCTGCTTTTGCAGCCTCAGAGCTAAAAGATGAGACAGCTGCACAACACCCTCTGAGCTGTTTCCATCGGATTTACCCTTAATTACGTCCTGATCCAATGTGAGATCAACACCAGGGATTTCAGGTGCTGCTTCTCTGGGCAGGACTTCAGGTCTCACAGCCATGCTCATGCAGAAAGTGTCAGGAGAGATCTAGTGAGTGCAGGTGCTCAGCCATCTGCTTTACATTTCCTCTCAGTCAGTGGGCTCAGAGCACATTGATCCTTTTTTAACTTGGTCTTCTCAAGTGACATTACATCTCTGACCACATGTGCCTCAAACTAAAACACTCTCTGATTTCATTAGTGATCTCCCTTTGCCTGCAAGCAGTTTGCTCATGGGTGAACTTCTGAACTTTGCTTTCTTGTTTGCAAAGTAATTAATGTTGGCAAACTTGGCCAAGCATGGTCTGAAAGATTTTTCAGGGCTAGAGTATGACCTTAAAGAGCTGTGTATGTGAAGAATATAATGTTTGGTGTAGGAAGACACCTTATGGGGGCACCTGTGTAGGGTCAGTCTGTTCCATGGGTGTGCTCAGCCAAACACTACTGACACCACGAGGCCACTTTCACCACTTACCTCTGTGAAGCCACCCAGGAGCCATTCTAACTGTCAGTGGAGTTTCTGTTGTCCAGAGGTCCCTGCTAGATCTGACTGCTGCACTACAACTTGTCCACTGCTTCCAGAAAGGTCTGCTTTTTCTTTTACAGTTGCAGCATTTGCACAAAGAAACAGAACAGACACTTCATTGTCCCAGCGTCGCGTTTCAAGCTGCTGCAGGTAAGAGTAAAACACAGTAAGAGCGTGGCCATGAGTTTGAGCAGTATAACCCAGGGTTAGCCTGGATCCAAGCAACACCCAGTTTTCTATCTTAAGTTCATGTGTGGCTGTTGGGGGGAAATGGCTGAATTTTGTCCTGTCTGGGGTGGGTGTGTTAGTGGATCTTATTTAGTGAGGTGATATTGGAGCTCTTGCAGTTCTGAGGCTTGACTGTTATGGACACATTTTTACATACAGAGAGCACAGGAGCTCAAAAAGGAGCATGAATGCAGAACTCTGTGTATCAAGATAGGAAGGTGGTATTTTAAATTTTACATTTCTTAGCTATAGGCCTAAAGTAATTTATCCATGTATTTATACGGAAAACTTATTTATATAGAAAACTGCTTTTCATTGGCTTAGGGTGCTGATAATTTGACAACATACACCTTCAACACACACCGTGCCCAGCACACGTTCTGCAAGACCTGTGGTGTCCAGAGCTTTTATACTCCTCGTTCCAACCCAGATGGTTATGGTAGGTACAAAGAGGAAGCTGTGGTAACCAAACTTAACCACCAAGCACCCCTTGGGTAAAGCCTCCATTGGATGCCAGTATGACAGCAGGGAGCAGCATGTGTCTTAAGAGTTTGTCCCTAAAGTGTTAAACATCTGGATCTGCAGCCTGAACCTGTAGCTCCTCCATAAGAAAGTCTTACCTGTGATGTGTGGGCTTGTGCCTGGGACAGGATTCTCATCCAGGCTCCTCATCCTTACAGCGATAGCATTTATATTCCCTGAGATGCCCCATCCACGGAGTGGTGCAGGCATCTCCCTCATTTCCTGAGAAGCAGGTTTCTATGTGCTCTGTCTTTCTTCAGGGATAGCTCCCCATTGCCTGGATGATGGCACCGTGCAGACCGTTGTCACAGAGGATATCAATGGCAAGGAATGGGAGAAAGCAGTGGGGGAGCATAAGACCATCAGAGACATGTCAAAACCTTGACACGGCCTTCCAGCAACTGAACTTGGAGCTCTGCTGTGGAACTGCAGTCTGGGATTTCCTGGGTGATGGATGGTGAAATCAATTTCTACACTACTGTTCTCTGTTCTCTGTTTCTTAAATAANGACACGGCCTTCCAGCAACTGAACTTGGAGCTCTGCTGTGGAACTGCAGTCTGGGATTTCCTGGGTGATGGATGGTGAAATCAATTTCTACACTATCTTTCTATGTTGATTGTCTCATTCCTTTGTGACTTTCAGTTGACAAACTGCCTCTGCTCTGTAAACCACTCCAGGGTTGCTAGTTTGGCATTTTGCCTCGAGCTGTGCTAAAGTTTAAGTCACCATATAAAAGACCTAGTTACAGTCTGGGTCTCTTGCACCTCATTCCTACGTCCTGCTGACACTCTTGTGAGTTGATCTTGAGCCCCATGTTCTGAAGCAAGAAAAAATGCTCATGTTTCATGAGGGACACTCTGAGAAGGTGGAGCCTGCAACACAATACGTATGAAAGAAGCAGCAGCAGCAGCAAAGATCAGTGCAATTAGAGAAATTTGTATTATTTCTGATGTTTTATTGAAAAGCTTTGGCTTTTTAAAGTTCTGACTGAATAAGAAAGGTCTTTGTAGATCTGGTATCTGTGGAGATAGCGTGTTCTTTGAAAAGTTCCTCCTGATATCTTGATTTTATAAAAGCACCAAGAGATAGTTGCCAAGCAGTCCTTGCAGCTGTATCTTTTTTGGGGAAATAGTTTGTGCCATATCTTCTCCAACGCAGAATACTCCTGCATTCAACTCCTAATTAAGTTAATCCAAATTTCTCATCCCAGTTAAGCTTCTACAGTGAGAAAACAGAGTAGCTGTTAAACCCTGTTCATCTCAAGGTATCGGGCAACAAGATACTCAGAAGGAAGTTCACATGCCTGGTTTCTGTAGCCTGGAGAATGCTACACAAAGAGCATCCCATCCTCTCCAGCACATAACACAGGAGTTTCCTTTAGTCCTGAGCCTGGCATGGTCCTTTTTTTTTTGGTCATTCTTTTCTCCTGGAGCTGTGAGCCATGTCCTGCTACAGGAGGTGCAGTGAATTGACCACCATGTACCGGGAGAAGAGCACGTAGAGGCGACGGAACCAGAGGAGTTGGCTGCGATGGCACCGCATGGCCCTCTAGAAGGAAAAAGAGTGGAGAGAGCATTACAAGAACCTTCCAGGCCTCATGTGAGGGCAGTTTCCTAGGCCTCCTGTGAGGATCACTGCCAATTTATAGGACAGCCTGTTTTCAGTGAGCAGTGGGAGGTGGGAGGCTGCCTAATCCATGGGGCCTCTCTGCCCCTGTGTTTCTGGTGTTGTGCTGGCTGATGTTCAGAGGGTCCTGCTAGAAAGGACATTATCAGCTGCAGATTGGTGCTGAGACAGTGTATTTATCACTTATAACTCCTCCTCCCCATGTGATCTCATGCCTGAGTGTTCACATGCTGGGGAAGCAGGAACCCGATAGGTGAGTATCTGGGAACATCCCTGCGTTTGCTTCTGACCACACACTGCCAGCTGAAACCGAATATTTACAGAGCATCAGCAGAAAAAGGTCAGGTTTCAGAAACAAAAAACACATGGAAATAACGAACACCACCTCTATCTGAGCAGTTTCCATGTGTAACTCTCCCTTTTAGCAGCCTCAAAAGCAGGAAAGTTCTGCAATTTGTGAATTAACAGCACTGGTTTCTGGGCAAACATTTTCATGCTATGGAAGGGGAGCTAATCAGATTCTGATACAGGGAACTGTGGACAAATGTGTGAGATCTCATGCAGCAAAATAAAAAACGCATAGCAAAGAAGGGAACTCTTTGGACCACAAGTTGACAGGCTGTTTCTGTCTTTAGTTAGAGCTGTGGTCCAAGGATGCTGTTCCTGACATGGAGTCATGCCAATCTTTGACAGGCCACTCATATATTGGGAATATTAAGTCGGATCCAGTCTCCTCTGAAATGTATCCTGCATCCTGGATGCAGTGTAAAACTCAGTGCTCTGTGACTACTGGACACCTCTGAGCTGCAAATCAGCTCAGCCCCGTCCTGTCACACAGCACACGAGGTCACCTGTCTTGTCCGTTCATGTTTTACAAGTCACTGCAGACATTCCTTAGTGACATTTATAACCCACTTATGAAATTCCCCGTGAATGTGACACTTCTGACTAAGGTCTTCACAGTGATGACGAGCCATTCAAGCAGGTTAAGCAGGTGCCACACGTCTCACCTTGGCTTGCTCAGTCTCCTCCTCTGAGAGGATGAACAGGGCATCCCCGGGCAGGAGGCAGGAAATGGGCACATCCAGGAAGGAAATGTACTTCCTCAAGAGATTCACTGACTCGAGCACGAGCACACGGCACCCTGCACAGAGGAAAGGGGAATTATTTCAAAACAACAGTACTGTAAGGTGCCCTTCTCTCCAGGCTCAGCAGGTCTTTGCAGGCTCCCATGTGCTGCTGGACTTGGGATCCTGTTGCAAAAGGGGAGCAACTTTTCCTGATGCTTCCACCAGGATCTCTTTGTGCCCAGTGCATGTTTATGATCATTTGTACCGGTTCTTATTCAGTATATGACTACTTGTACTGGTTCTTGTTTTGTACAGTCTGTTGAAAGTAAAACTGGCTTTGACTACCACAAAAACTGAAGGTTTCTTTTGCTTATAATTAAATTATTCCTACATAATGATGATTCTCTGAATGCTGGCACTATATCACATAATGGAAATTTTAAAACAGCAGTCTCTGGTTCAGCTACCAAAATGAAATTTCACCTTTCTGCTCCAATTCTTACCTACAGAATAAATATTTACATGTCTCTGGAATGGCAGTATCAAATATTAACTCAGGCAGGCAGTTACACTTTAACAGCGTTCCAGAATATGTTGCTCAGATGTTTGTGATGAAGCAGAGGAAGGTAAAATGTATAAAGATTCTGCTGGTTTGGAAGCTTTTTTTTTTCTGTTTTAAAGATCCCCTTGAACTCAAAAGTTGATTGCTATTTTTTTTACTATGGCTAAATTGTATTCCCTGATGAGCTCAGAGCTACTGATGGTCCCATTTAGAGCCTGTAGCTCTCAAAGGAGCTGCTTTGGGATTTCCTGGGGCTTGGAAGCTGCTGTGATTATGCTCCACACTTCACAAATTGTATTAAAGTGTGACAGAAGAGGCCAAAGTAACAGTTTACACAGGTGGTCAGAGACACAATTCAATTCACAATTATATTTTCTTCAGTGTGCCCTGAAACAGTGACATTACTCAAAGGAGACACAAGACAAAGCTGAGCTGCTGCAGAGGCTCCTGATGTACCATTTCAGTGTGTGAAGCCTGTGCTCAAGTCTAATAACTGCTTGAGCTGGTGGTGCTCAAACGCCTTTCAGCCCTACAATGTCAGCAGGACTTGTGTCCCTCTAAGGGCAAAGATTCTCCAGGACAGCAGCAGGAACAAAGAACTTTTCCCTACTTTGGACATTTGGTAGATCCCTCAGTTTAACCTCTACCAAGTTTGAGATAGGAAGGGAAAACTTGTTGCTCTACAATTTCCTGGAGATACAGGGGAAGCTCCCACAAGTCTCCAGGGTAGAGTCTGGCACTCCAAGATGCCCCATCAGCACCATTCCTTTCCCAGCCAGGGGGCTGTGACACACTGAACCCAGGGACAAACAGCACACGTGGGACCATCCTGACAAATCCCCTCATAAGTGATTTGTGTCCCAGCCTCTTCCCAGTGATGCTGACTCATTTCACTGCAAAGAAAAGACTTGCTTTTATTCCAGTCAAAGCCTGCAAGGGCAGGACATGGCAGCCCCCATAGACTCCTTCCAGCACATCTCTGAGATCTTTCAATTCCTTTCTTTCTTTTTTCTCCTTCAAGAGAAGATTGTTCCAACTTCTCAATAGATTCTTCCACTCTCCAAAGAAAAACTGGTAACTTCTTATTTCAGTGTCTCAGAGGGCCCCAGGGCCACGCCCCCCTTTCCATTGATCCTGGGACGTGACTCCCCAGCAGGACGGACAGAGCACACAAAGGAGTTCTTTTCTCCGGCTGTGGGCAGTGATGGGCAGGGGTAGAGGCCTCAGGAGGAACCACTGGCATTTCTATCCAGATAAAAGCTGACAGGAGTCTGTGCTGTGCCAGGACCTGGAGGAAAAGCCCTCCTGAACTCCTGGCTCAGGGAGCCGCCGGGAGATGGCGGTGTCCGCCGGCTGCGGGAGCGGGACCGCAGCGCTGCCTGCGGCGCTGCCCGGCCCGGCCGGCTCAGACCCCTCCCGGCACCCTCTGCCTCGAACACCCTCCTGCCTTGACTGTGCCACTGCCGTGTGCCCACCCCCGTCCTCCCGCAGCCTCAGCCCCCAGCCCTGCAAGGTCACGGTGCTCCTGTGAGCAGCAGCTGTGCGATGAGCTCTGCCAAGCTCCCCGCGGGGTCCCCCGGACGTGCGGGAATGCAGGGAGCTGTGGGACCAGCACGGATGGCTTGTGCCACTTCCTGACCGCGAGCCTGAGCCCCCGTCTCGCTCCCGGCCCACCTGGACAAGTGACAGCAGAGCAGTTGCTGTTTGGCTGCCATGGGTCTCAGCTGCTCCTGCAAAGGATGCTCTGCAGGGACAAGTGCTGCACTTGCTCACAAACAGAAGTGCCCTGAGGGTTCTTCTACTCCCAGTACAGAATTTCTTGTTTCCAAACTTGGAAGGAAACTTGTGATGTGCCACGAGTGGGGGAACTCTCTTCCCCCTTCTCTGCAGAGACCCTCTGGGCTGCTGCTGTGGGTAGTTTGAGAGAGAAGAATTAGTGCTGCACTGTGGCAGAGGAAAGGAATAGATATGGATCCTCTTGCTCTTGTCCTCAGCATTCCCACTGGCCACCTGTTTGCTTTTCAAACAAGGGAAGACAAGGCTAGAGCAAACACGGGGCAATGGATCTTTCCTTTCCTGGATGGTTGTTAATGGACTCTGGCAATGCCATGAGAATTCCTACTTGCAATGATGGGAAGAGAGGCCTGACACAGGGTTACCCACAACTGCCCTCTGAAGCCTGGACTGCTCTGTTAACAAAACATGCTCTCCCTTTCCTCATTTTTTTTCCTTGAGAAATATTAATTCATGCAGCAATTACACCTTTTGTTCCCCAAAGCTCACCAATAGGGGATAAAAACCACTGCGAATTATTTCTGTGTGGATCTATCTGACCTGCTGCGCCCTCCTCGGTCAGATCAGGCAAAGTGGTGGCACGGTGGCATTCAGCCTCCCAAAAAAAGGGCACTCTAAGAGCCTTCTGTGCCAGTGATATCACAAGGATATCCATGTGCTGACAGCAAAGCCTGTTCTGCATGGGAATGTGAGACGAAATGAAGCAGGGAAGGAATGTACAGTCCAGGGAGAGATGAAAAAGGGTTCAGAGAAACAGGCTGCTCCCTGCCAAGCAGGGTGGGAGCAGTGCTGCCATTGAGGAGTCCACTCCTGTGACACCAGCAGGTGAAGCTTTTCAGAGCCTGTTGTGACTGTGTTAGGGAGCCAAACAGGTGTTCCAGCTGGAGCCCCTGAAACAGCAACTTAGCCAGAGGCCTCTGAGATAACACTGGAATCCACGAAGTAACCTTGGGCAGCCTGGGAAAGAAAGAAAGGAAGCTGCTAACTCCAGTGGAGGAATACCTGTGATGAGTACCTGCACCCAAAGATAAAAACAAGAAAGAGAAAACTGTTTTAGGCTAACACCACTTTCGAATATATACTGGTATATATTTAACAATAGTAGTGTGTTATTAAAAGGTTTGAAAGAAGTGTGTAAATTTAAAAAATGTGTGTAACAGTGCAAAAGGTGGATCCCTGTGTGCCTCCTTTTCTGTACCGTAGAGATCATTGCACTAAGTGTGATAAAAGTATGTTAATGTAAACATTGCATGACCTTTTCTGCCATTTATCTGGGGACGATGAGGATGAAGAATAAAGCCTCAAACTTATACTGCAGTCAGATTGTCTTGTTTAACAACTAAAAGACGTTTCAAAAAGTGCAAAACTGCATTAGACAGATTTTCAGGCATTGGCAACTGTGACCTGGGCAGGAGGGGATTAGCAGTGTAATACAACCTCTCTAGGTTGGCAGAAAGGGCAGGATCAATATAGCTCGTGGATTAGGCCTGGAATAGAAGTGTGTGAAGCCTGCAGCCTGCTCGGCTTGGCTTTCTGCTTCCAAATCACTGAGGCAGCAGGTCTGCCTAGAATGAGGAGCTCCTGGGCAGATCTGTGTGTGCTGCAGGCCTGCACTGCTCCTGAGGGAAGGAAGCACACCAGCTCTTTTGGAAGAGCACTGGTTATAGCTGGAAGGGGCCAGTGGCAGGGGTGGGAGCATATCCAGCAGCCCTCTTGACTTCCTGAGACAAGCCCAAGTATCTTGTGCCCAGGCTGGAGAACTTGATTACAGATTATAAAAAGCCTGTAGTGTTTATGATGGCTAAAGGCATTAGAAAGCAAAGCAGGATATTTAGGGTGCTCATTTGCATATCACTGAGGCAATGCAAGGCTTAGCTGGCTTTTGCATTTGCAGAGAGATTTTCTATGGATTCCCTGATCACATGGGCTTACACAGGTTCACCCACACATAGTTCCTTCTTACCAACAGCAGAGCAGCAAATTTCCATGGCCTGAACATGCCTTTCAGCTCTATCCAGACAGCCTCAATCCCAGCATCACTCTTGTTTCATTAAGCCCCTCTGATGCACAGCCCTGCACGCCTGCCAGATCAAATTATAAATACTGGGAATTTCAATGAGACTGGAACTATATTTGGAAAGGCTTAGCGTAAGCAGCAGCATGGGAGCTCCCCGTTCCTTTGGTGTTTGTAGGTCATGTCAGATGTGATGTAATCAGAGCAGCAAGGCTTTCACACAGCTCCAGGAGTCTCTTGATGCTGCTGGAGAAATGGAAGTGTTCTCTATACATGGGTTCTGTTTCAAACCTGAATGAATTTGAGGCTCAGCCCATATTCAGGACCATAGTGAATCTAACAGACCTGCATGAATAGCACATGAAAGTGGCTCAGTGTAGATGGGGCCTGACAGCCAGCAGTGACATCAACCACTGCAGGTCCTTGTCCTTTGTGCTGCACAACAGAGCTCTGCTGCATCCCAAAGCTGAACAAAGAAAAGGTCCCAGGAAAGAAGTTGGCATTATACTGCTCTTTCATAAATTGGGGAGCTGAAGAGACTGGAGTCAGAACTCAGCTAAAGGGCATTCTGCCATCTTGGCTCACACTCTCTCATTAGGTCTGCAACTTCCTGCTAGCAGAGAATTAAAACTGATTTGCTGTGACTCATTCAAATCCTACAATGATTTGGGAATTAGCATTAAAGGAACACAGCCCAGATGGCTGCTGAGGGAACAGGAGGTTGACTGGGTGGGCCTGGTTGAGCCACCTTCCCATGATCTGTCCAAAGAGCTGGTTGACAGCTTTGTGCCTAAACTAGTTCCTCACATTTGTCCCTGAGTCAGGCACTGTTTGCTGGAGATAAGGGCTGCAGCTCTGCTCTGGGACAGCAGCTGGAAAATGGGTCAGGAGCGACTTGCTTCTGTAATTTGTTTCTTTCCTTTACCTACTTGTACAGAGGGTTTCTCAGGGATTCTTGCTCATTTGTAGATGAGAGAAGCCATTACAAAACTTGCTGTGCCACTGCAGATTTCAGGTACCTTTCGTGAGCACATTTTGATGGAAGCTTAACTTGGTACACGCAAACATTCTTGGCTAAGCTGGTAATGGTTTCTGAGGCCTTTGTCACAGAAAAGAATAACAGGCTTGTAAGTAAGACATGACCAAAAACTCTGTGATTAAGCTGAGAGACCTGGAAATAACAACTCATATTCACCCAAGACAGCAAAAGGCACAGGGCAGACACTGAATCACAGAACCTCTAAGGACAGAAAAGTGATTGTAGAGAAGTCTGAGTGGGTAAAAACTGCAGGGAGATAAAAGGGTAAGAAAGAGTTGAGCTGCAGGTTGCATTTGCACTGCAGGGGTGAGTTGGGCAGCTGGAACCCTGCACAGAACATTGATGTAAGCAATTGCCCAGTGCCTGCAAGGGCAGGGATGTGAGGTGACCTACCTTCAGGTAACTTCCTCTCTGAATGCAGGTACCTGTGAAAGGAGAGATACATGTGGGTGAACACAGTGGAGTTATCCAAACCCTGATTTTACAGGCATAAACTCTGTACACTAAACCAACCCTTTTCTCTTCACACACACACACATTTACAATGGCCAGTCTTATGAGAACCCTCAGGAGCCGATGCTGGATGCACACCTCAGGCAGGGATAAGCCTCACTGCCCACACTGTTCTGCCATTACTTTCCTCATCTTGGCTGCTGGGACACATCACAAATAAGCTCTATAAATCCAATTCACTCTCAAACTTCTCCAGTTGCACTAAGGGAAACTGCAAGAGGCTGCCAAAGGCTATTCACCTCTGGGAGCACTGGCTGTTTAAAGCCCAGGGTCTGCTGGCCAGGGACATTGCCTCAGCAGCTCCTCCTTGGGACCAGCTTCTTGTTTCCTAACTCACACTGGCACTGGGACATCTGAGAAGCTGCTCTGGCTTTTTGCTCACTGAGACTTTGATCCCTTCATGATTTTGTCCTGGATAGTCTCTGTAGCAAAAGTGCTTCCCTTGGAAACAGGATGAGGGGACCAGTGTGGGAGATGTGAACAGTGAAGGCACTTCCATCAAGAAGTGTAAGCAAATGATCCTGGTATGGCAAAAGCATCAGAGGGTATTAGCTTCAATTCCTTGTTAATTCTCTTGTTTTTCCTGCTCTAGCCTGTGGCTCATGGCTTTGGAGCAATTGTGCTGACATTCCCATCTGCATCACCCCAGATTTGGCCCATGGCAGGGCTGGGAGGCAGCAGGTCTCCAGCAGATGGCACTCAGGGCTGTCCCAGGCGTGCTCTTCCATGAGGAAAAAAATTCCAAACAATGGAACATTTGCCAAAAGGAGAAAGGAAATATAAAAAAAAAGTTATTTAACCCTGAGTAATATGTAAAGAGATTGTTATCACCTTACAGTGGTGTATTAAACGAAGGACAATGTGCCAGTTCATGTGTAAATCAACCAGGATCAAACATGCATTATATGTAAACTGCTGTGTTTCTCCAGTCACTTCAAACTAGGATTATCTCTGGCTATTGGTTAAGTTCAAGGAAAAGGATTAACTACACAGGCATAGACAAAATAGGAAGCACGGAGTAATGAATATCCAACACAATTCAAAGCAAAAGTCAAGCCAGAAATGCAGGTCATGGCAGAACTCAAACAGCAATCAGAAAACATATGCCTTACACAGATTCTCCTGCCAGTGCTCTCCTCTGCTCCAGAGCCAAAGCTCTGCAAGCAATACCATTTCCTACTAAACAATGGCCTTGGAATACTGACTTGGCCACCTTCTACCACTCAAGTCTTACTGCTCTGAGAAAGATCATTAAATGTTGCCTTGTAAACATTACCAGCAATTTTTTGTGGGCAGTGGAGGGGGAGGAAGGTTTAAGTATCGCCATTAATATCTGCTCTGCTCTTCTGCCAGAGGTTTCTTCCCCCACAAGTAGAATCTGGCCACCCAAAGAAGTGATTCAGCACTTGGTACAGCAGGCGGGGTGGGAACTTTATAGAACAAGCTTGGAGAGATAAAGCAGTGAGTGGTTGTGAAATCTGGCAAACTATCTGAAGGCCCAGTGTCTGTTCTGGGTGTGCTGCTCTGCCATGGAGGCACCTTCAAAGCACTTACTGAGCTGCTCCCAGAGGGAACTAATAATAACCATTCCTGCCAGCAGAAACAGGAGCAAGAGATCCACTTCATATGGAAACGTTTCAGCAGGAACAGGCAGCATCTTCAGCAGGGAAGGAGAGTTTCATTCAGCAGCAAATTAAGGAGTTTATGCTGTCTAAGGGTTCAGGCAGACACAAACTGTATTTTGGTTACTGAAAGGTCCTCAAAGCTGCTGCCAGCAGACCTGCCATTCATCTGGAAGAACAGGCATGAAGAAACTACTTCATCCTTTTTGTCCTGATCCAAATGCTTCAGGACTCAGCAAGGCTCAGTGCAGAGCTCTGGGAATGGGCTCCACCCAGCTCTATGTGCAGAGGAATTGCAGCCTTGCTCATTTGTATTTCTCAGGCGAGAGATACTCTGTGGTTACAGAGAGAGAGAGAGAGAGAAACACAAAACTCTACCTCCTGCACACGTTCACAAAATGAGCCAATCCTCTCCCAAATCCATTGTCTCGCTCCCATCTCCACCCTCCTGGAGTGTCTCCATGGGACACTTCCAAGTAGGGGAGAGGTTGCAGATCTCAGTCGTTGCCATTTTGGGAATGTTGTTTTACAGATTGGACTTGCTGTGGTTTGGGTGAAATGAAAGACTTTGGCATAAAATCCCCAAAAGTCAAACACAAACATGCTCTTTTTCAGGAGCTTTTTCCATGTGGGTGTTGTTTTTTTCCCCCCGGAGACACTTTTTATAATTCTTTTTAAACATGAAGTGACCTAAGGTGGCTTGTTCCCACCCACCCACCAAGTGCCAGAGGCTGGTGATTACAGGGCACCTCTCACTGCACCCTCTCTGTTGTGCCTGTGGTAGGTTCAGATCCCCATGGGAGACCCTCTGCAATGAAAAATTTCAAAAGGCCATGAGACATCTGAAGGCTCCAACCATTTCTGCACTGCAAAAGCTCAGCCCCGACTCCTCCCTCGAGGACCAGCTGCTTTGAAGGCTGTTGCTGTCTGCAGCCATCAGCTGCATCTCAGCAGAACCACTGAAATGGCCCAACAGCCCTGACCCTGCAAATTCAGGACTGAGCTCCTCCCAAATTCCCTGCCTTTATTCAGTCATCCTCAAGGAAAGATGTGAGCAAAGTGAGTGGATCAGCTCCTGTGTGGCACCAATCAGTAAAACCTCCACTTGGTGGAAAGAAGAAACAAGTCAAGATAGAGCTGAAAACTTGGTCTTGGGGAACACAGAGCTCCTCTGGGGAACACAGAACTCTAGGGCTGATCCCCTGGTGGGTGTGTTATGGTTTTGGCCATGTTCTATTTGATGAGAAGTTGTTCACTGAATTCAATGACTTCACTCTCCAAACACTCTCCTGTGCCAAAGGCAAAACCCTTCACTGAACTGACTGTGCTGGCTGCTGTGGAGCACTGGGGAAATACAATTCTGGAGAGCATGGAAAGAATGGATGTCTTAAAGCTGTGCTGGGGCTCCATTTAGAATCCCAAACTCTAATCTGCCTGATTAATCTGATGAAACAGATGTGAAGGAGGAAGAACAGCCAGTCTCCTCAGAGTCACAGAGATATCAGAAGGATATACTTGCCAGATGTTGAATGTTTGCTACCTGGAATGCCTCCTCCCTCCCTAACTGGACTTTCTGGCTCTACTTCCATGCACCCTGAACTACACCATGTAGCAACGTGCAGTTTGTAAAATGCTGCCCAAGCTCTCTGTACTCAGGTGTAGCAGTGGCAAAAGATGGTTCTGCCAGTGGCAATTCAGAGATGTTCCAGCTGCCAGAGCTGTTCCCTGGCTCTGTGCTTTGGGCCTTGCACTGCCTGGGAGAAGAATGTGCAGTGTCACTGCTCCACTCACTGCCTAAAGATGCTGGAAGGACATCCCCTGAGGCTGTTTCTTGGGAATAAAAAACTACTTTGGGGGCAATCCCTTCAATGCTGGTGCCCCGTGCTCAACTTTAATCCTAATGGCTCTACACGGTGTCAGGGAAGGGGGCTGGGATGAATGAACTTAGTCAAATTAAGGAATCAGGGGGTAAATGAAGGAATGAGATAAAATCTAGGATAACATACCCAGCCCATGGCATATTACCAGACATAGGGCAGAATCCTCTGAGGGAAGTCTCCAAGGATAGAGGACAATTCTGTCCCGACCTTATGGGGGCAGTCTGAGTGCAACCACAGCCACCACTCCTAAGATCCCCAGGGACATCTAAGATCAGTAGAATGCGTGGGACAGATGCTGAGAGGGAGAGATTAGAGTCCCATTCCAGCCCCACACTCTAAGAAGGCATCAAATAAAATGGTAAATGGGATATCATTCACTATTATCAAGCTAATCACCCAAAAAACCAGCTTCCTTCCTGCTCAACACATCCTTTAAGACCTGGCCTTGGAAACCCCACACAAGCAGAACTGTGCTTTGTTGGGATGTGATGCAGTTGGTGGCTTTTGGGAATGGTACCCACCGAGTCTGTGGGATTGGCTGGACAGTTCATTGTTTCAATATACAGATTTGAAACTGGCACTTAACCAACCCTCCTCTTTCAGGGAACCTCAGTGCAGCCCTTCTGCACAATGCCCATGGCATTCAGAAATGGGGCATTCAAGAGCCAGGCTGTGACATGTCAGTGCAACAAGGCATCGGTGGCACTCAGGCTGCATCATAATCAGCTCCAGAGTGATAAAGCACTAAGCTCCCAAATATTACCTCTGCACAGCCTCTTTTACAACCTACCACTGAGCTGGTGAATGTTAAAAAACATCCTGCAGGACTGAGAGGTGTTTTTCCAAATGGAATTGACGAGAATAGGCTCGGCTAATGATTCCTTGATGTAGCTTTTTATATGGCATCATTGATAGAAGTTTTATGGATGCAGTTGCTATAACAACATAATGCACAGTAGTTAAATATAGCAGCTCCTATTTTCCACTCAGTTTGCTCTGCCCTAAGCAGACAAGACTATTTTTTTTTCTGTTCTAGCTGGGATGAAATGGATTTGATAGCTCACTGAAGAAAACAAGTGGTACGGTCCTTCCTCCTCCTCACAAAGATGATTCCTTTCCATCCTAAGCAATCAAGCAAACAACAAACCCAACAGCCCCCCATTTGCCAGGCTCCTGGGTAAGAGGGGTTATTTAAAATCAAAGTGCACAGTGACTCATGCAAAACTAAGCCCCCTTGATATTACATGTGATCTCAGTGCAAACACCGTCATTTCAAAGTGCAGCAAAAGAGAGGTTCTCCAATATTCCTGTCACAGAGTATTTACCAAGGTTATTACCACAGTGCCTACAGACTGGCCAAACACTGAGGGAGCAGTAAAGTGACCTGGATGTCACTCAAACCCTGCTCTTCCCTGTGGATGAGCGTAAAGGATCCAGCCTCTCTTGGCCACAGGGAAAGCTCCTGTTTTGGGGGAAAAGAGAGAATGATGTTGCTAAATCAAGGTGACAAAGAAAGAAGCAGAGCTACAGAGGATTGTTTCCAATTCCCTCTGTTTTGCTACTGTGGGTTTTTCTTGGGTTTGGGTTGGGTCTCTTTTTCCATTTGGAAGCCAGAACTGAAATACTCCCAGGGGAGACTGAAATCAAACAGCAATTTGTGTTCCTCTCCCACCCTGTTTTTTCTTATTTTTCCCTTGCAGAAGAACAAATCCACCCTCGAACCTTGGCATTTCCCAGTTCCTCCCAGATCTGAAGGCCAGGCAGGCACACACAGCAGCTGGATTCCTGCAAGCTGTCAGGAGGAAGGTTGCTGCAAGGGAAAGGGCTCATTTCTTCTGAATAGTTCCTGCTCCTTTGAACATAACCTCTGCTCCAGACACTGGAAAGAATATTTATGCCCTTAGCAGACAATACTGAGCATCTGCTCAGCTATGACCATTGCCTGAACTGTTTTATTCCTTGAAGCTGTTCGATAATTTGCACCTCCTGAAGCGAGGAGTTGTGGGAGGGGTCACACAGCCTGTTCTACCCCTGCTCTTACAGAAATAATCCCGTGGGTGGTGGACACAAGTCTATCTCCCAGGGACTGGGAGAATCCAAAAGAGCCAAGGATCACTGCACCAGCCCTCTGCTTCATCTTTTCCACTCAGAGCCACAGTGGAGGCAGAACCTTGCACACCTTGTTTAAAGATGGTTAATAAACACATTGCACATGATACCTGGAGGGGAGAGTTCATTTCCCTTTCCTTGCCATGTAGCACTGGGGCCCCTGGGGCTCTGCAGAGCTCTGCTGGCACAGGGGGACAGGAGAAGGCTCAGCTTGTGCTCCCAGTGCTGCCTGTACTGGCCAACATGAGACCTCATCAGGGCACAGCGAGTCAGGAGTGATACAGTCACGCTCTACTTCCTCCATAACACAAACTGAAAAATAATGAGGGCAAACAAGCCACTAAAAATAAACTTAACCTTTCGGTGGCCACAGCGTCACTCCTGCCACATGCAGATGACAGGGCTACCATGGTTATTTCTGCTGATTCAGGACTGGAACAGAGACAAGACACAAAGCAGCCCTTAGTTAATGAGAACTGCTCGTGCTCTGGTGTCCCTATCAGCATGGATCTCATCAGCCCAGGACTGCTGTAGCTAAGGACTAATGCAGAGGTCTGAGTTCAAGGGGCTTGCAGACAACGAATATTTCCAGTAACATGCTCTGAGATGAGAAGAGGGTTAAATCCCCCCCACACCCACAGGAAACCTAAAGCACAAAGGTAGGAAAGTAATTTCTGCACAACCACAAAGTAGGACAAGATCAAAATCAAGAGTTTTCCTTAACTTTCTCCTACATAACTCAGCTGCCAGCTGGTTTTCCCATGATCTCTTCAGGATGTAAGGGGGACACACAAACAACAACCCACCCTCCATTCCTATTTGCAGGTCCTACAGCAATCGACTGAGCAAACAGAGGCCCAGGCAGCTGGAAGCTCTTCAGTCCCTCTGTGCCAATGGTATGAGCATCAACCTCTGCTCCTGGGTCATCAACCTCTGCTCCTCACTCACTCCTCAATTAGCTGTGCCAGAAAGCATCTCCCAACTCAGCCCAAACAAACACAGTTGCTTTAACTCCACCCCCTCTCCTTCTTTTAGGCTATTCCAGAAGTTGCTGGGAACAGCCATGATCCCCTCTAACGCTGAACTCCAGCATCAAAGGCTTTCAGCATCTTCCAGAGGAACTCAGTAGGTCCCAGTACAGGTTCTGTGGCACTGTAGCTTTTTCTAGGCAAGTGAGAAAGGCAAATCACTGGGATGTTGTCAGCACGGAGAGCCAGAAGAGTTATTTGAATGGCACAGATGATTTAGAAAACAAATGGGCGCTATAAATACAACCTATACTTGCAAAGAGTTCTTCTCATGCCTGGGAAAGGCAGGGGCAGCTCTGGAGGAGATCTCTCTAGGACACAGTGAGGTCTGAATGAGCAGAACGCTAAAGTAAAATACAGTAACTGTCCTGACAGCAAAATTTGGATGATTTTAATACAGAGCCTTCTGTGTAGCAACCTTCCCACAGCACAGGGACAGAGGGTCCCATAATGTAAGGAATAAAATGGTGAAGGAACTAATTGGCTCTTCCTAAGAGTGGTAAACAGGGACAGCTCCAGTGAAAGAGCAACGTCCTTGGGTCAGAGAGGTAAATTCAGGGACCTGGACAGGATGGCAACATCCCCTGGAATGGTGGTGCAGAACTTTCCAAAACCCAACAGCTCAGGCATCAGCTATTCACACACCCTCCTCAAACCAGAAGTGCAAAGTGATCTGTGGCATATTTTAGTGGGATCAAGGACAGGAAGAGCAAAGAGGGCCCAGTGAAAAGGAGCCTGGCAAAGCACCAGCTGATGGAATACTAAAAGATGCTTTGGTTATTTACGGAGCTGTGGCAGCTTCTCCAAACAGCCTGTGCCCCACAGCCTGGCACTCAGTTACAGCAGTGAAATCAATGCTGTTTTTGGTTCTGCTCACACACAAGCACCTCGTTCACCGTGTAACTCCCAGGTGAGGATGCAGTAAGAGCACACTGTACCTGACAGCAGAGTAAAGAGAGATGTGGTTTGTGTGGCCACTCACTCCTCCCGCATCAAAGGTCACCACCTGCAATAAACCACAGAACAAGAACCATTTAGGAGGAGGAGGAGACTGTGCAGTTCCCAGCTTTGACATCTAACACAGCACTGCCCCAGCCCATTGTAACTAACGAGTTGTTTTTGTGTTGCACAAAGAGGCCTTGTGTGTGAACTCATCAGCCACAGAAATACAACTAAACAAACAAGCCACTCTGGAACTAGATGACTACACAGTCTAACAGCTTGAACAACAGAAAGATGACAAAGATCATGTTCCCACTGGCAGGATGCACTTGTTACTTATTACCAGGCCAAAAGGTCACTTTCAAAATGATCTGTTGCAAACATGTTCCTGACCCGAGAGGTCCAGCTCTATGAATCACTCTCTCCTGGATCTGAGAACATCCTAGAATGACAGAGTGAAACTATACTTTGCTGTGCTGTGGATCAGGACACATTGCTGTAAGAAGAGCCCCACGATCATGTACGACTGTCCTGGTTATAAAGAGGCTTCACCAGAGGATAACACAGTGATAAAATGATCTGATATGAGAATAAGCCTTTTTAAAGAATCAGCTGACTGCACTTTTGTACAAATGGGAACTTCATAATGCAGAAGTAATGTGTGAACACAGCACTAACCACTGTCCAGAGCACAGAACACCCCTGGCTCCCTGCCCTCAGACCAGCCAATGATGTGTCAGGGGTGAAGCACCACCCTAAGGGCTCACTCACTCTGTGGTGCTGGGCAGTGAGTATTTAAAGGCTCCCACTTCCAACCTGGCAGCCAAACAGGCAGCACAAAGTGTAGAGCAGACAGGGAATGTGTGCTGGTTCTCCTTCTGGGTGGTGACAGTGACAGTCCCTGGCCAGTCCAAAGTTCAGTCTTTGCTCTGAGAGAGGCCCAGTAGCAGAGCCCTCCACAGCTCCCTTCTCTGGGACCAGGGAGAAATGATAAACTCCCCACATTTCAACCAATGTCTGCTCCCTTGCCAGCTTGTTCTCTCTTCAGGGAAGGAGAAGAAGAATGGCACTGCCTGGCTCACTCAGCACAGCTCCCTTCTCAAAATCTATTTTATGTGCAGGGCCTGGGGCACTGGGTTAGAGATCAAGGGAAGGCCAAAAGTCACCTTGCCCGTCCTGCAACTTGCTCCTCCACCCTCTGTCAGGCCCTCCCCACACAGGGGACATTGCTAAAGAGGGAGAGGAAGCACAGAGACAGCAATCAGAAACACTTCAAAACCCACAACCTTCAGACAAGCCTGCTTTAAACCCATCCACACAGAACATGTCCACGGTCAGACTTTCCACGTTGCCCAGTGGCTGTAAAGATGCTGCCACCAAGCAGCCCAGGTTGCTCTTGGCTGGCAGGAAGTGGTGGGACCGAATTCAGTTTCATTCAGGTACAAAGAAGCATTTTCTGGCCAACCCTTATTTCATAAAGAGAAACAGGATATCTTCAGCTTTGGCTGCTGTACATCAGCGTTACCCAGGAGCTCTGCAGGGCCTGCCCTGGTGCTCAGCCCTCCCTATGGATACCAGCTTTTGGAGCAGCTCATCTGGGAGAAACATTAATAAATTCAGCTCAGGGAATGAGAGTAGCACCCTGTATTTTGCAGATAAGAAAAAACATGCTCTGAAGTCACTCCTACCTAGAGTGGCACTTTTCTGAGATGACAAAGTCCCCCACTCACTGCAGGCAGAATAAATTTCTATTCAGGTGAATAATAGCGTGAGTCTGATAAGGGCTGGACTTGCACTAAACCTTTTCACTAAATAAGGACAGAGAAAGGGTCTGTCTCTTCTGCCTGGTCATTGATTTTCACGTAACCTTTACAAGCAGAACATTTTTAAGACCAGTACCCTGCGGTTGGAATTGGCCAACGGGCTCTGAAGTCTTTTGAAACTTGCATGTGCACACACGTATAAATATCATTGCATTATTCCTGTTTCCTTAGGAAACCAAGCTAAAAACCCAGGCAAGCCAAAACACACATTTTTTCCTTCTGTGGAGGGCACAAGGGAACAAACCAGAAGACCGAGATAAGAGACTACAGTGAGCAGACTAAATAAACTAATCGTTGTTTTGACAAAACTGGCTCAGACCAACTGTGGGAGCACAAGGCTGGGTTAGGAAATATTCTTGACATGGAAATTATCTGTTCAGAAACACCTTTGAAGGTTTTTCTTCTCCACATCTGTTTTGAAACAGAAGCTGCTGTTCTTAGTGCTGCTGAGCTTACATAACATCTGAACTATCTGAAGAGACTGCACAGAGTTCATTTTCTGTTGCTGTTGTCCAGTTTACTGTTGGGACATTTGCACCTGAATTGCCTGTCTCTTCAAATAAACAAATTTGTAAGTGCAATTCCCAAGGTATGTGCACACAGACCTGGCCACAATGGCATTTGCTTTGTCTGCAAAGAGAGTACCATTGAAATCCTGGTTCTTCCCTTCAGAGATCCCTCTGAGCACACAGCAGAGATGTTCCCTCGGCCCAGAGTGCAGCTTCTAAGTGTGCTGTCTGTACAGGGCACTGTTTCCACAGCACCACTGTGCTGCTCGTGCCTTCAAGCAGACAGCAATCACATGTAAATATATTCCTCTGGTTTCAGGGATTCATTTCACTGATAATGGATCTGAATTTCTTTCTCACATGCTGCAGATATTTTCACACGGGAGCATTTGCTCCTTCCACACGGTGCAGCTCAGTGCTGTGCTGGCTTTAACTCCTAACCTGAACCAGGCTGATGAGGAAATCAAGCAAACAATCAGGACAGGATGAGAAAACCTGAACATCTTGAAACTGTCTGGGTTAAAAACAGGCTTAGCCAGTTCTGGGATAATAAATATACTTCATGTAGAAATTGTTGCTCAATGAAATCTTTAGGGCAAGAGGGAGTTCCCTCCCCACACCTGTTCTGAAATGGGAGCTGCTGCCGTTGGTGTTGCTGGTTTTTCTTCTGGGTGACCTTGGTATTCAGGAAATGGAGCTTTCACTAGTGGAAGCCAGAGCAGCAGCCAAGACAAACAGGTCCAGAAATCCCTTCCGGAGAGGGGAGAGCACAGAGGAAATTACTCAATTACCAGCAGAAGAGAAAACTCCTGAGAGGTCTGGAGTCCATGATCCCCCCTCACACCATGTGCACTGGAGGAAAAAAGCACTCAAAGCTGTGGGTCTCCCTCCTCTTCCTGGTGTCACACAGTGCTTCCAACAGAGCAAACATCTGCTGGGGGGGAGAGAAAGGTCTCTTTCCTTTTTAAGAAGGACCATCCTCTAAAATGCCATAGTAAGCAATTCCATTTCTCATGGCCTTCCTCTGAGCATCATTCCATGGGCCCTTACAGTCACAGAGGCCAGTGATATTCAAACTCCCTTTAAATCTCTTGTGCGTTTGGAAATGTCTCTTGTAACTGATTTAGGAGCAACAAGAGCCTGCCTGGGGCTCACACAATACTATCTAACTTTTTTTACACACCAAATACTTTCTAATCTGGATGGAGACAGAGGAGCCTTGGCTGCCTCTCCGTGCAACACTGACTCTTGCTTGTAAATCCAGCAGGCAGGAAATAATTTCCAAAGTCTATAAATTAGTTTTGGCTTTGAGTGCACCAACCGTTAATTTCTGTGTGTGCACTATTTAATGTAGAGCTTGGATGAAATATGTCCCTGTAGCTCTCAAAAAGATTGAGCCACTCATGGACTTCCAGGGCAATTGAGCAAATTAACTCTGCAATGGAACAACAGTACTCCCACAGGGTGGGACTCCTTGCTTTGTAATCCTTCCTTTTGGATACACCGGAAGTGCAGCCCCTTCTCCACTGTCACATATTGGTGACCCACATATTCTGTAAATAAAGATACCACTGTTGGTGTTATGACTGCTGGGAGAACTGGGGGAAGTTCTCCCACTGGGATAGCTACAACAACACACGTTTTTCAGTCATGTTGATTCCACTGAGTTGGTCTGTTGTGATCGAAATGCCACCAGTTTATGTTTTGGCAAAGCTCTTTGAACATGTTTAGCCAGTTTTATCAATATCAACATTAGTGAAAAATGGGCTCAGTTTACCTTTCAAGGCAAGGCCGTTGTTTTAGGACAGCAGGTGTTCCAAGAGGAGCTCACAGATAGCAAGCTCTGAAGTTTTTAAATTGCAGAGTGTTCAACAAAGGTAATTAGGTGCTTCTCTTGCTGTTGTTGGCAAACTAGGTCTGCTCCTAAATGAATGGTATTGCAGCAAACATCTGAGACCTTTGTGTTTACTTGGGACACTCAAAATAATCTGTGTTTCATTACCACCAGCCCTGAGAAGCTGCTTCAGCTGCCTTTGGTACTGCTGATGTCCTGCTGCAGTAATTTATCCTCTGTGCTGCTCAGGGAAGAGCTGATGGGAATCAGCTCCCATCCTCCCCCTTCCTCCAGCTGGAGCTGCAGCACAGCAGGGACAGCACCGTGATCAGGAATGTTTCATGTTTGCTTTGCAAACCCCACATTTGAGTGTTCATCTCATGCTCTGTTAGTGGCAAACTGCTGCCTCCCCCAGCACCAACAGCTGGAGTTTAATTTTCCCTGAGGCAAAGATCTAATCCTTCCCAACCATCCAGAGGAGTTCTAGTGTTTTCAGAATTTCTACTGGGATTCTGGTGCACTTGTCTTGGTGCTCGTGAGAGTCACAAAGAGGCAATACAAACCCTCCTGTGTTAGGAGCTTTCAGTTTAGATTAAAACCTATCTATTCACGGGGCCAAAAGGCACAAAAGGAGTCCAGGAAAACTGCATTTGCCTCTGTGCACAGCAGTGAATTTCATGGAAAATTAGCCTCAGAATCAATACAAAGTTGGGTGCATGATGCTGGGGTTTGTGCTCATTGGGGCTTTCATGCTACAGGAGATGTGGTTTCTTGTTTTCTGAAGTGCTGAAAGGCTTTAAGAGTTTTGTGATTTTGCTGCTAATCTGTGTGTCAGTGCCTGATCAAAGTAAGGTTCAACAGAGAAGAACAGAACACGACCTTTTCCATGCTTAGGCCTTTATTCCTGTTCTGTGGGGAAAAAAAAAAACAACCCAGTGCTAGGAAATCTCCCCAGTTTAATATTCTTCAATCCCCACCTATAACCCTGCTAATCGAGCTCTCTAACACACACCTACCAATGGGCTTCAAAGCTAAGCCTTAACCCCAGATGGGCTCCCTTCATCAATTAAACCCAGCAAAAGGGGCAACATGGTTACTTTAAAATACAGAAACCACTTCAAGAGCTAGAAAAGCGAAATTCCACTACTGTTCATTTCTCATTGGGAAGCAAGGAAAGATCTCCAGAGAGAAAAGACACATCCTGAACTCAAAGACTCCAGAGAAAGCTTCCAGAGGGAAGGGAAAAGCCCGGAACAGCAGCTCAAAAGTGATGTGGCCTGTGCTGTAGGAAGTTTCACGTTACCAGGTTGATGTTCTTGGCCTCTATGTGCTCCAGCACAATGGTGGCGAGGAGATGTGTGTCCCATTCCACAGCAGGATTATCTGGAAGATCCCTGAAAATGAGAAGTGCAATTAGTCACTTCACTGCTGAGAACTTTGTACAGGCCATACTAGAAAAGAGAGATCCCCTTATCAGAGAACGAAATCAAGATAAATTTATTTACCATAAAAACCCTCTGAACCTTATGTTTTACAACACTGGATACCAGAGAGTTGAAAGGAAAACAGCAGTTCCAACACCCTCCTCATGGATTTGCCAAGGTCTCCCTTTCCTCTTACCATTAAGGCAGACTTTCCAACTGCTTTACTTCAAGCAACATCTGTTTTGTCAACTCTTGTTCCTGATTCATCCCAAACATGTTTCTTTATTTTAAACTTTATTTTAAAAATTATTTCTTTATTTAAAACCTCTTTTAAGTCATATTTTTCTGAAAGACTTCACAACCATAATCTGCTGGTGAATTACACAGGAAAAGTACCAATCAAACTCCTGCTCTCCTTTATTCAGGAAAAATCCATTAACCACAACCAGAGGACAACAGAGACATAATTATATGGCTTGGATTTGATAGTAGTTCTTCATCTGTTTGTTTTGTGCTTTGCACACCCAGTTGGTATGCAGAGCATACTGTGACTGAACTCTCTGCCTGGGTATTTTGGATTGCAGGATTCTAGGGGCAGGAACCACGAGCCAAATGCAAAATAGCACCAGACAGCCAAGAGAACATTCCATATTTACACAACTGAGAGCTGAATTTGACCCCCCAGTCATTATGTCTGAACGATGCCAAGAAAACATTGCTCGCAAAGTTACAAAGGTTATTAGTAACAATAGGATAACACACAGCTGCTAAAGACTAATAATGACATGTTAAACGGGTCTTTTTCTCAGACCTTTCCCTCCTCTGGAAGTCTGGTAATTGCTGTGAGGTGGTTTAGCAGAAAAGTGACTACACAGCATTCTCCCAGACACACGGGCTGGGAACTGAACCGATCCAGCTGTTTGCAGCACGGAGCAGGGGAGGTACATCCCAATTCCTCAGGCCCTGCTGACTCCCCAGACAGCAGGGACGCAACATCTGCAACAAAACAACGGGAAAATGTCTCCTTGGCACATTCCACAGTAAAGCTCAGCCTGGGTCTTCATGAGAGGTTTTCTGGGCACAAATTTTCCCACTGCTGTTAACAGTAGTAGGAGTAGAAGGAAGATCCTGAAGTACAAACTGACCATCGGCTTTTCCCTGTTGTGTTACGTGCTCCTGTTCAGCTCAGGCCAAAATAATGTGAATTAGAAACCCCAGCAGAAGGGAAGGTGTTCCTACACCAGAGCACACATTCCAGCTCTGGGCCCTGTAGCAATATTACAGCTACAGAAAGTTCTGTGTTGTTCTCAATTCCCTCTTGTACAGACAACACCTTTGACTGATGTACACAACACCGGAGTGTCATCACTGGATTCCCTGGTCCATCTGGTGGCTGTCTCATCAGCTTAACAAACCTGCATCTCATCTGCTCAGACACAAACTTTTACATTTCCTGTTTGAAGATGAAGTGGCCCTGTTGACCCCGAAGATATGACAAGTCCCAGCATGTCACAGCAAGCCCTGAACAGAGCACATTTAAAAATACGCTTCAAGTAAAACATCCCAAGGAACACACACACAGAGCAGAGTCCAAGTGCAAGTCAACAGGGCTTCAGTTGTTCAAATGGTACCTTCAAGGTATGTTAGGGCTTCATCTGATAATATGGAAGCAGCAAATTAGTCTAAAGGGGATTCTGCACTGGTTATTTACAATGCAAATATCGTTGCCCTTTCTGGATGGGGGTTAAATGGAGCCGAGGAGGAAGTGAAGGGTCTCATTAAAACAGGAGGGCTGCTCCAACAGGGAGAGGTCAGGAAAAAAAAGTAGGGCTTGGAATTTATGATGTCCAGGAGGCTTTGGTGTCATAGCCACCGCACTCAGCTTTATTGGGCTGTCTCCAAAAAGGCTGCTGGGTAGTGGAGCAGGTTTTAACTAGTTTAGACAGATAAAGATCATCCTCGTCAATGGAAATGAACAGCTGGAGGCAACGGTTTAGAATCCCTGGAAACAAAACAATCTGAAGGCATGAGCAAATTAACTCCATGAACACTGAACTGATTAAGCAGGAATATTCCACAAAAAATCCTGCTTCTACTCACTTTCCTTACCCCCAGTAAGGAAAAGGAAATATTTTTCTTGCCTAATATTTGTCAGGTACGGAAGAGAAGCCGATCTTGCCAAACAAGACACACATGTACACAAGCACATTCATAACTCATTAGTAGCCACGATGGCCCATGGAAGTATTTTCAGCTCATTCTGCAAACAGGAAAAGTTACTCACAGTTAAATGACAAACCCAGAGTCACCCCAAGGAGTCAGCAGCAGAACTGGCAATACATTCATCCAGACTGCTCCAGGAAATGACTTTTTTTTTATGGTAAGAGTTTGTATAATACTTTATAAAGTTGAAGGTGTGTTACCATGATAGTAGGGACCCACAGAAAGCAGGAGACCAGTAATACTCCACCTGTGCTCTGGATATCAATAACTGGGTCCAGGTAAGGATGAAAAGGGGATAAAGAAACCCAAGTCCCTTCACCCCATGCAGCAATGCCCACAGGACACAGTCTTACAGGAGGTCTCTACACGCCCGAGGAACTTTGTAGGGACGTACAAACTTTGAAAACTGCTGTAGTTCAAAAAGCATCTATTCAGTTTAAAATATTATTCCTAACATCATAAACCAGTTCTCAGCAGACCTGAACAACGGTCCACTGACAGTGCTGCACTACTGAAACACCCTGCATTCATTGTGGTTTTACCTTCAGGGCTTCAGAAACATCAGCACTTAAAGGGTTAACTCCCCCCTGCCTTCCCGGCTAACGCTGATAAAGCCTCTGAGCTCAAGGTCGAAGGGCTGAGATAAAGGACTGTAAAGGAGTGAAAATTAGCACATTCCCTGGAGCAGCCTGGAGCTTGTCCCAGGAGACACAGCTCCCCACCGCCCTCCCGTCCTCTGCCCCAGAGAGCTCCTTGTTGCTGCTGTCAGTCACTGCCACAGATCAAGACACAAATCCTGCACCGGAGGCCTCCCAGGTCACGCTGCTGGAGGGGGCTGGTGGCAAGGGCAGAGGGGTTTGGGCACTTGGCCTCATTTCCACCAAGCTATTCCAGTCTGGAAGGAAACTTTATGGGCATTCCATGTGCCTGATCCTGAATGCAGGTGGCTGCTTGGATGCAGGGGAAAATGGGGAGATGCACAGAAAAAGCAAAAAAAAAAATATATATATACTTTCAATGGAATAAAGCTCCAGAAGAGTTGTTTTCCCAGCAATTTTCAGTAAAAGCCATGCTGTGCACTGTACAGGGAATTTACAGCTGTGCCAGGAGATCTATAGCCTCAAGAGAGGGAAATGGAGAACTGTGGTGCTGCAGTTGCTGCAGTGTGGAGAAGGGTCCCTCTCTACTCACCAATTCCAGCAGGACCAGTTGTGGGAAACATCGTGTTTGGAAAACAAAACTCTGTACCTTTCTGTTTATCCATCCACTCCTGGTAGCAAGAAGCAGACAGGACTCCTGCTTTTCTCCATCTCACTCCTTTACTTTCCCCCTTGCCACACTGAGCACCCAGAGCAGACAGTGGCATCTGCAGTTCCCCTTCCCTAGGTTTGCACAGGAAGAATGCAGTGGATGTCCTGGATATTCTGGCCTTTGTAGGGAGCTACAAGGGGGCCCCAGCAAATCATATCAGCACATTAAACCACAGTTCACCTTATGCAGGTCTTGCCCAGCAGTCTTAGAGCTGAATGGGAGACATGTCAAAAATCACTGCCTGCTGCCAGCTCCTCTCCAGGCCCCTTCCTCTGCCTGCTCTGGGCTGTAGCTCCTCTTACACCTCAGCCTGGCCCTTAAAACACTGTGCCTGTTGCCAGCAGTGCTATCCCTGCCAGCAGCCAGGACAACTTTGTAGGGTCGTCTTTCTAGGAACATTTGGGCTCAAGATGGCCAGATTCCTGTCATTTGGAAGGTCACTTTTGGCCGAGGTAGAGATTTAAAAAACTTCACAGATATATATTGCCAAGTTATACCCTCCTTACATGATATACTGCCCAATCCCTGTCCAATTTTCCACTGCTCATCTTCCACAGGCCTTTCAGCAACAGCCAGTGCCTTCATTCGCACAATCTTCCTTCAAAGCCTTGCACATAATTCATCCTGCTCATGAACTAAGCTCTCATGACTGCTCTAAAGGTTAAGTTAAACCAAACAGTCAGTCTGTGTGATGTCCACGTGGCTCAACAAACAGCAAATGGGCTGCACTTTATGGGATAACCTTGAGATCCACCCCTCCTGGAATCTGTGAGCCAGGAAATCCCCAGGCCCTGGTGGCTCTGGATACCTGACAGTCACCCCCATGGGGCCATCAGGCTCCATCTCTGCCTTGACATGAAGCCTTTATGGGAGTGGGCAATAGGGTTCCTTCTTGGAGATGTTTAGGTCTCCATCAATTCATTCCAAGACACCAGAGCAAAACTTTCAAGGTGCTGATGTGATTTTCCACCCCGCTACACACCAATAGGGTCAAAATTAAAGAGTTTTCCCTTTTCTTACTGTTTTTTCATCCTGCAGCACAACCCTAATCAGTCCAAGGCTAAGGACCAGGAAATATTTTTGCATATTTTCTCCTCCTTATCCCCAATGAATGATTTTACATCAAATCAGCCCAAAGGTCAGTAGGTTGATGGTGGAAGCAGGTGAGCTGCTGTGCACGAGTTCCCAGCTGGAACAACCACCAGTGTGTTTGCTGCAACAGAGGATGCCCTTTGTATAAAGTTGTAACTGTGTAAAATGAACATCTGGGCAATGAAACTGGATCAAAAAGTGAAACATCCCACAGAACAAAATGACGTGAGTGCACAATTAGTGAAAAAGCCATGTGATGACTAGAGGCAATCAGTGACCTTTATATCACAGCATCAAAGTAATTGAAAAAACTGTGTAAACACAAATGATTTCATGCTCTCCAA